ACTAAAACTAGCGCGATGAGTAAGTGGAGAGATAAGAGCAAGGGCCAAGTGAGTAGTCAACAACGATACAACTGTCTATACACTACAACTAGCGTGATGAGTAAGTGGAGAGATAAGATCAAGGGCCAAGTGAGTAGCCGACACAAAGAAGTCTGGCCTACACAACTAAACTAGCGCGATGAATAAGCACGTTGTCCGAGCCAGAATGAGTCGTAGTCTTTATTGGGCTGTAATTTCATTCCGCTACCCGTGGCTCTACAATAGAAAATAGTGGGGTTTTGCACATCCAAGTGGCACGTCCCAAACAAAGCTAAAGACCTCTACTCAAGCTAACAGAATCATTAGTTATATCTGGTTATAATATAGACGTTAAAATAATCAATTATATTAATCTAATGTCACATGGTATGTAATTTGAAATTACTAAAAGACGCTTAGAAACTTATTTATAGTTAAATAAGACTATACAATTATCGCATATTTTATTTAAACAAAATAATTCATTATAAAGACGATGAGGAAACAACATTGTTCAGGTGAAATTCTACTAATTCGAGTGTTTCAAGCTGAAAGAGAATGTAACATTTCCAAACCCAGACTGCAATGAAAATGACGCCAAATGAGACTGCACTATCGGGTCGCGTTTAACGGGCAACTACGGAAATTTATTACGATTGTGTTGTGAAAAGGAAATGAAACACAGTGAAATCGACCGGTAGTTGATTTTTCGATTGATTTAGTGGTTAGTGGGTAACAGGGGGAGGGGGGGGGGTTGTTCGAAAATACAACATTAGTCAGAATTATTATAGTCGTATTTCAAGATGGCTCACAGCTTGTTTGGAATACTGTCACGAACACGTTACAGAATTCCTTTGTATTGACGTGGTCATATAACAACTAATGGAGCAAAGAATTATTATATTAATTGTACTCATGGGTTGTTGAATTGCATGTATTTCGTTGATTAAGGCTTCAGAAATTGTTTGAGAATAAAGTTGACCTGTTTTCTAGAATTTTGATTGTGTATAATGGAAAATAGTTTTAAACAAAATTTTTTTCGTTTTATTAAGTATTTTTATTTCAAAGTATTTGCGTCTGGGAACAATTTAACGTGTTTTAAAACTAACCTTACATGTAATTAATTATTCCAGCAATTTATGCCATTGTACTTTGGAAGCACTCCAAAACTTTTAAATTGCATGGCTACAATGTACAGTTTGGGTTAGATTATGCATCGCAAGGTATTTTAATCATTTTCACAGTTGGATGTTCGAACACTGTGAAATCATTATTCATTATTTTACTGAACAGAATTAAAATAGCTACACTATAGTTAAATACGTCGTACAGTAGCAGTATACTAGGACGGTTGAACGCAAAATATCACCAGCTTGGACCAGATACCATATCAGGGGCCAAGGACTGATAAGACGCCGCGCCGTCTCAAGATAAAACCTAAACCAACATCTCAACATCCATTCGACGCTAACATTTTCGGTTTTACCAAGTTAAAACTTGCTACAGAGGCGTTGAAAAAGAAGTTATGTTGAAGTAAGAAATGTAAAGAAACAGAATTGTATATTATTTTTATTCCTCTGACACGTTCCAAAACTATGTATTTGTCTGGATAATCAGTCACATGATATATTTCAAGTAGATGTATTTTACACACCTAGACATAGATTATACATTATGTAGTTTAAATTATCGGATAGAAATCACAATAATTATGTGTGGTAGAATCGATGTATATTTATGTATTCGACTCGACACCAATACACAGTGAACATACATTATGTAGTTTAAATTATCGGATAGAAATCACAATAATTAATTATGTGTGGTAGAATCGATGTATATTTATGTATTCTACTCGACCCACCAATACTCAGTGCACATACATTATGTAGTTTACAGTATCGACTGGAGAGGTAATCATTTTAGTATTTAGTATCACAAGGGGATGTTCCACAGGTCAGTTGGGGTGGGAAAGGGTCCCTGCCCCAAACTGGAAAGTCTTCTAACCCCCGTGGGAAATGATCGGAGTGTCTCCAGCCAGGGGGCGAAGCCCAAGGTTCGTGTCTTGCTTGTAATTCTGCGTCATAAAACGGAATGGCATGTCGTATATTTTCACTAGAATAATTTGTTACCCTTCGCATTGGTAATGGAAACCCCATCGGTATATTTTTCTAAAATAAGTTTTGGTTGAATGGGAATTGCTTATGAGTAAATGTACAAGTACGGTATGAAAAAAACATTATGGAATTAATTCACTTTCTGAGTCAAAGGATCAATGAAATCGTTTATAAGAAAAAAGTATTATTTGAATAACTGTCAACATTTTCGGTTCAAATTCAATAGTAGCACAAACATATTTCTACATATATAATGAGAACAACTATTGGCAGTTAATATATTACTTTGTTTCATTTTTATATACTGAGTTCACAACTCAAAATTACTACAAAACCATTAACTTTCGTAGTAGAATTTACTGTAAAAAAATTGCAATGTAAATTTTCATAAAGTAATAAAAAGTAAATATTATCAAACATATTCGAGTGTACCAATGAATTACAGTCTAATAACAATGGTTATTTAATTAAGTGTCATAATAACCAATTCATTTAAGACGCATTGCGTGATCCAAAGTTCACAAGACGTTCAAAGGACCCTCAGAGACACTCGATGTTTGAAAAACTTCAACCGCAACGAGCGAACATCATGTAGCTCAACCTGGTGTTTTTGAAAACCGGCTTTAAATGCCTTTCAAGGCGTCTCGACAACCCTCTCCCGCTTCGTACAAAACTGAGACGTTTAAGACCCATTTGTAAGTAACCACCCATTTGTAACAAAATGTTCTAAGCTGCAAGACGCTTTTCAACGAAGAGGGGTGCCACGCTGGTTGTCTTACAGCAGAATTGCTGTCACTGAAAGAAACTTTCTCGGCTTTAATGAGCTAACAATGTCGAAATAATGTGACACGTCACCCCCTCTGATACGGTCGCTAAAATGAACTTTAGCCCTCCCTGATTATCGTTTTTACCAGAGGCTATGAAAAATAAAACGTTTAATACAACGATCTTTCTCAGACATTGAGTAAAAATTTTGATATCAAAATCTAAACAAAAATTGTATCAGTAAGCTAAATTTTCATAGCTTTTGTTTTAATTTTAAGTAAAATTTAAGTACATACGTTGCAGCAAACCTGCACACAAAGTTATCTTCCAATTACCTTTTTTAGCTTTTATAAACACAAGTTCATACATATTTGAACATTATTTTTAAACCATAAACCGATTTTGGGATACAACCCCCTCCCTCCTTCATACCACAATTTGATGTGAATTGTTTGGCAACTCGAATATATGTTGGTTATCACATTTTAATTGATCTATGCTTCATCAAAATTGGGGTATTTAAATCCAAACGAAGGATGATTTGGTTTCTAGGAACCCTAAAAAGAAAATACAGCTATCCCATACCCAAGCCACAAACCCTATGGCAATAGCTAGCTCCCTAGAGTCCTCGAGTTAAATTCGCTGGAATTAACCTTTTCACAGCTTACTTACCAAACCGTTGTATCAACACATGCTTCCTATTTGCTGAATCGAATTATCTTTACTCTAGTGGGTGATTTCCACAAAGAGACATCTTTCACGCATTATTGTGATATGTTTTTTTTCATTCACCATAGATCCATAGATAGTGGACGTATTTAAATAATACTGCAATTATTTGCTACACTGTTTTTATCTATAATTGAAGCAACGGTGACTACATTTAAGTACTAACCGTTTAACTGGATGTAAAATATATTACCTGATTCAAAGGTATCAATGACGCGCAATGTAATCTTCCCCATTTCATTAAATAAACTTACCAGTGAAAATTTTGAATTTAGAAAACATGTGGTGAAAAAAACTATTTATAATACGATATTTTTTCATATTTTATTGTTTTAATTTCCTTACAAAACAACGAAACTAAGAAAAAAAACACCCACAGGAGAAAAGAATGTAAGAAAAACGCAGTTTGCCGAAAATATTGACGATATCGATTGCAAACCCATATCTTGATAAATTTTGGCGTTGAATGAGGAATGAGGAGTATGAGGGAGAAATAGAGGGGGCGGGGGCGATGAGTTACTAGATATCTAATCTAATCTATCTGATTGATGTACATAACTGTTTCATTGTTTATCGCAGGCATAAACATGATAGGCTAAGTAGATGTGTCCACCATGTTCATCGTGTTAAACATTCAAAACAAATTAGGTAACAAGATTTGACTTTGAAAACTAGATAACCTCTGACTACGTACATGATATAAACAGTACAGATTTGGATTAGTTCAGAATGTGGTTTTACAAAATCGTTTCAAATCTTAATTTTTTCAAGTAGTTAGTACAGAAAGTAATTAAAAGAGATGGTTCTATTTCATGATCGGCAACTACGTATCTACAGGAACAACGGACCAAATTTAACTGTATACAAGAAAACAAACTATAGGCCTATAGTTGTTTAGTCTACTTGGCGCGCCCTTGAACAGAAACACGCCGCGCAACATTGGGACGCATGTATTCACTTGCACTTAACGTTGGTCTCAATAAAACCTCGAGAAAAGCACATGGCGACCACGGGACTCTAGTTTGATCCAAGTCATTTAAAGAATAATAATTTTAGAGCTAAAGCAATACTAAACGAAGTAAAGCGGACGAAAATTGAAAACAAATGAGATTTTATAACGAGACTTGGAAAAGAAAAAATGACGCTCCAAAGTATTTCAGGAAGGCCAGACAAACGATTGATTTGGATTAAGAAAATTATTTTCTAACTCGCTGATAATTTGACATCATCACAATGAATTATCGGTGCATAACATTAATTTTAAC